TATATGTGTGTGTGTGTGTGTGTGTGTGTGTGTTTAGCTAGATTCATACACCCATATGTGAAGCATTCTGAAAATTATTCAAACAGATGGCTGAAGAGCAAGCCAGATAATATGTAAATTTCTTGTAAAGCTTATACAGTGGGTATAGAAAAGAATCACCCCCCATTAAAATAATCACATATTGTTGCTTTGCAGCCTGAAATATTAGTATTTTAATAATAATAATAAAATACCTGAATCACTGAGTTGGAATAAGAATCACCCCCTTGTGTCAGTATTTTGTTGAACTTCCTTTTGCTTTAATTACAGCCTTTAGTCTGTTGGGATATGTCTCCACTAAGCGCTCCAGTCCCTGCTGCAGAGAAACACCCCCATAACAGGATATCACCATCTCCATTCTTTACTGTAGGACTGGTGTTATTTGGATGGTGAGCTGTTTTGGATTTCTGCCAGACGTTTGGTGATGAGTATCTCAAACGAATGCTTGATAAGTTACAGCTGAAAAGTCTATTGAAATGTCTATGCTCAGTAACTCATTCTGTATGTAGGACAAATAAGTTGCATGTAGGGAAGATTGTTCAGTTTTAAACTGATATCATTGTCTATATCTTGGATCCAGGGGCGCTGTAACAGGTGGGAAGGTTAGGACAATTCCAAGGACCCAACAAGGGAGAGGGGGCCCGGAACGCGATTTTTACAGAGGGGGACGCCCCACCAGGGAACGTAATCGCGGATGGGGCCTGAGTCAATATGCTGTTCAGGGGGCCCAGAAACCATAGCGGCACCCCTGCTTAGATCTATGTCATTTCAGATCCAACCAATAAATTCCAGCTCCGATGAACCTACAGACAAATTACATTGAAAAGATTCAGATAAATATAGTTACATATAGTTATATCAGTGCAGAGGTGAGATATAATTGCTAAAACTGTCACTGGCATGACTCACCAATCATTCTGCATGTAGGTAGAACCCATATTACACGGTTCGCCTGTAATTCATCACAAAATCTTTGACCGCTTGCCACAGATTCTTTGACATTTTTTCTATAAAGTATGAATTCAAGAGGATCTAAGCTCAGCTTAGCTACTTAGCTGTAAAGTTTTAATGAATCACAGAAGATTAAACCACACAACTAATGAGGAAGACACACTTATGCAACCACACACTCATGGTTATCTCTCTGCCCCCTGGCTGTCTCTCCTCGTCTCTCCTGACAGATAATAAAGAGCATTCAGTATACAGGCACCTGATAAGGTGTGCAGGTCTATTTAAAGCTAATGGGCCTGTTAAGTTCAGCTGAGCCTGCTTAGCCTTCAGGCATCAGTTACCGGAGAAGACATTTTTCAGGAGAGAGCATGGAGGGCTTTGGTCCCAGTTATGCCTGAAATTCTATGGTCCATGTTCTTGATGAAGGTAGAGATCCCTCATCTCTCTACCCTCCTCAGACTTCAACTGTCACATAGTCACCACCAGCCGATTTTTTCACCCCAGGCCCACACTAACCTCCAAGTAAGAGCTTCTCCATTATACAGCTTCGCTACATGTCATAGACTAAGTAAATGTGGCAATGGCATGACCCAAAGAGACAGCTAGACAGGGACTCATTTGTCTTAAGGCAGTGTGTCTATTTCGGAAACACTTGGATGAACAATGATACACTTCAAAAACAGGTCACAGCAAAGAGATTAGTTTTTACAGTCCAAAGCTTTCTATAGTCTTTGATACAAGTGCTGTCGGATTCAGACACAACTTAGAAGACGGCTCTGTAGCTAAAAGAAACATTTATATAATACAGGTGGAAAACACATTTTGGAGTGTAATTTGGGAAAATACAACAAAAAAAAAACTGTAAAAGCATAAGAACACTGTATTCATCCTCTATTCATTGTGGGGCAGGACCATTTTTGGTTTGTTACAGGACTAGCACGATTTTCAGCCAGTAAAGTGCATATATAATTGTTATTGCATGCCAGATATTTCACAGCTTGTTAAACTCTGCACTGTCTGCCTCCCAAATGGACAATGTAGCACAGTCTGTTCCTGAGGAGAGCCATTTCTAAACCTTCTCCCTCTATAAACATTTCTGTAATGCAATATATAGATTTTTTTCTTAGCTATATTTTTTGGCACTTTTTATACATAACTATGTAAACAAAATCCTGAAAGGTATTCTAACTTTCTTGAACCCCATCCAAAAATACATAAGGTTTTCTACTATATGTCAAAACACAGACGCAATGTTTATAGCCATATAAGAATTGAGTCCAATGCACACTTATGGATTTGTTTGCATACACTGTGCTAATATGTCAAAGTTATAGAGTCAAAGTTTTATCAAGATTTGATTTATTGCATTATATATTCAGAAAATATTACCCAAGACAGACTTTCGGTAATATAATAACATCTATACAAATCATACTTGGCGTTCCTCTGAACCAAATCAGATACATTTAGAATGTTTGTAGTATATATATATAACAGGTCACAGATTGCCCTTGAATCCATATGGCAAGCAAATGAAATAACAGAATGTTTAAAGAAAAGCTGAGCTCATTAGAAAAGGTTTCCTCTTAGTATGAAAGCAGTAAGTCGAGCCACAAGGTCAGCCCCTCACCCAAAATCAACATTTGCAGCAGAGGATATAAGATTCCTGGAGCCTTTTGGTTCTGAGACACTAATAGGACATTTTGCATTACATTTGTTTATTTAGCAGGTGCTTTTATCCAAATGAGAATAAGCAAAAACAACTTATTTAAAGTGCAAAAGGCTAGTTAGTTAGTCAGGTGCATTTTTGTGAAGATTTCAATGGAATTTTTCAGGTGAAGGTTAGGAGTTCATCCCGCTACTGATTTTAATTATGAAATAGTATGAGTGGACTCTACAAAAGTGATGTTAAATAAAAAAGACAGGCAAAAAGGCAAATTTTTTGTCTTTCATTTAAGGAATATTCTGCTTTCCATTGGTGAAATCCACACCACAGTTCCACATATACTTCAACCACTGCAGCAATTTCTGCTGAAAAGGTAATCTCTTAAATTCACTTGAAATGATGGGGGGAAATGTATAGTGCAACCACCATATAAACATCCATTTTTTCCCCCTATGCTTGCATAGAGTAGCATTTACTGTATGTAGTGGTACTCACACCGACTAAAAAACTGCATGGATGTATTTGTCCGTGCATTTTTGTGAAGATTTCAATGGAATTTTTCAGGTGAAGGTTAGGAGTTCATCCCGCTACTGATTTTAATTATGAAATAGTATGAGTGGACTCTACAAAAGTGATGTTAAATAAAAAAGACAGGCAAAAAGGCAAATTTTTTGTCTTTCATTTAAGGAATATTCTGCTTTCCATTGGTGAAATCCACACCACAGTTCCACATATACTTCAACCACTGCAGCAATTTCTGCTGAAAAGGTAATCTCTTAAATTCACTTGAAATGATGGGGGGAAATGTATAGTGCAACCACCATATAAACATCCATTTTTTTTCCCCCTATGCTTGCATAGAGTAGCATTTACTGTATGTAGTGGTACTCACACCGACTGAAAAACTGCATGGATGTATTTGTCCTCTATACAAATGTATGCCAACTCTCCCATTGACTATAGGTTTGTTTTCTGGGACTGTCCTGCTGTCCCAGATCTGCTCACTGAATTACTCTAGCCCCTCCTCTTTAGTCACAGCTGTCTGTGCTCTGCGTCTGCAGTCAGCCTACAGCTGCTGGGACGGAACATCAACAAGGGGAGGGGAATATATATCAGAATTGGCCGGGCCACAGAGAGGAGCAAAGCCACCATCAGGATTCAATTCAATCCCAGAGGGGCCGGTGGGAAAGAGAGTGGAGAAAGACAGAGGAGTCAGCTGCTGAGACGGAAAGGAAGTAAAGAGCTCTTTCACTCAGGAAGAGGACTAAATGTCAAGAATCTGGTGCGCCGCCCGTTCTTCATTGTTCACAATGAGAGATGGTCAAAGTCAGGCCACTGGGCTGCTGTTGCCCTCTGGCAACTGAACACAGTAGCCATTGTGCTTCCATGTCAGGGGTCAGTGCTGAAAGCATGAAGGCCTCCACATCAGAGAGCTGGACCCCAGCCATGAAAGATGACCCCGTTGCTCTGCCTCAAAGCTGTATGAGTAAAAAGTTCTGCGATCCACACAGAATGATTCTAATGAACATGATCTTTCTTCTCATGGCCTTTTAATAAGCACAGATTTGTGGCTACACTCTTACCCTCCTAGTTCTATAATAGTGTAAAATAGAACTTCTCAGGTCAGATGTCAGGTGAAGGAGGATTTTAAATTCATGCCCCAGAGAAGCACAGTTAAGGCAGTTGTTATGGTTGTTCCACTCTATCAAGTGTAAATAATGAATGAAAAACAACCAAAGA